ATAGGTAAAAATCGGTAGAAAATCAGATGCCCAATCTTTCACTGATTTTATTCCGAACTGTCCTTTTTCGACTAGTGCCCCCCTTGGGAATGAGTGATAGCATGCACTTAGAGGGTGTGTGCACTTAGAGGAACAAAGCATTTCATTGGTTACACATGACACCAAAAATTTTTGCATAAAAATAAAAATTTATTAATTAATTAATTATAACATCATTATCACTAAAAAAAAATTTTATATAATTATTGATTAAGATAAGATTGTATTTATTGCTTTCAAACTAATATACAGTATGGGAAGAAAAATCTTGCCTCTGTAAATTTGCAATAACTCAGCAACCATTAAAGTAAATTGTTCATATAATGGCTCATTTAAATCTATAAAACATGTAATTTTATTATAAAAATTTAATAAGATATTCATTCACCATTTTGTTCAATAACTGCTTCACAACATTTCCTCATTGATCCAATTAAATTTTTTATAACAGAATCTGGAATACTCTCCCACTCCTCATTCATAAAATGTTTCAAATCCAAATCATCTACAGTCAAAGCCCGTTATAGTGGATCTCATTATAGTGGTCACATAATAAAATCTTGTTATAGTGGACCTTTTTTGTTTCCAATGCTAATTAATTTTGCTCGATATAGTGGAAACCATAATAAAATTTCGTTATAGTGGAAAAAAGGAGAAAAATTACATATGGAACCAAGGGTCCACTATAACGAGCTTTGACTGTAGGTTCCAGAAAAACTGCAATTATTTGTACTAAAGCATAAGAATAACATAAAAATTTATTGTAAGTTTGAATTATTATCATTATCATCAAAATATAATTATAAATATAATTTATCTGTTGGATGTATTGTTATTATTAACATTACTTTTCCCTAACATCTTATCAGAAGCATCTTTCTTCATTGCAGATGAATATTTAGATATCCAATTTCGAATAGTTTCCACTTTTGGAATTTGTTCAGGCATAAAATAGTAATTATTATTTGCTTCTTCAACAAGTTTCTGATGCATTGATTCTGGTGTACATCTTTGACTTTTATCAGAATTACCAGAATGAAAGTAAGATTTAAGAAAATCTACAATTATTTTTGGCATTCTTTTGCCACAACCTTTTTTTCCAAATTTTTGTTTCCCCTTAATTGCCCATCCTAATTTAAGTGGGAATATATCTTCTATGCATTGCCTAAATTGATATATCACATTACAAACATATTAAATTATATATTTGATCATATTTTACTATATATTTAGGAGTATTCTTACCCTTCTGAAAAATCACAATGGGAAAAATCAGAGCTTTGGAGGAGGTCAGGTATATTTGAAGCATCATCATTTACTATAATATATATTATATTTAAAATATTATTATTACTTTTTCCAGTAGTGAACATTAATAAGATATTTTTGAATACTTCAGAATTTACCATTAACAAAAAGTGGATTGTCATTTGATTCATTGGACAGTGTATTTTCGATTTTTTTTTTCTGCTTTTTTTTGATTGATTCACCTATTATTTAATAAAGATTTATTAATATTAATATAAATTTATGAATTCTACACAATTTATCTATCTATTTACCTGTTGCATCAGGAGTTGGCACAGTCCATTTATTTCTTGGAATGGAATGTAATGTACACATTGGTTCAGGTTTTGTGAATTGTTGTTTAATTAATCTGTTTACTTCTGTAGGTGAAAATTTGGTCCAATCACCTACATTAGGTAATTCATGAGCATATATAGATCCACTAGATTCCTCATCAATTGGCCACTTCCAAGAATACCACTTAGATACCCCAGTAATTGTATCTACAATTTTTCCAACATTCCTCTTTGGTTCAATATGTGCTACTGATGTCCCTTGGAGATTTCCAATACTTTTTTCAATATCTTCACCTGTTGATAAGTCATTTCCCAAACTCACAAATCTTTTGATCGCATGTGAGATCTATTATAATAGTAGCATCATTGAAATCAATAAGTTGAAACTCAAATCAATTAGTTGTCAATTTAACTGGATCATTAATAAAATGGACTCAATAATTGACCAACATATCAAATAAGGAGGTAATTTGTTAAATCATAATTTTCCTCAATTGATTAAAAGAAAAAAAATTTTTATGATTAAATTGGTTCACAATAAGCCATTTATTACATTTATTGTACGTTCAATTCTTTGCAAATTATTACAGTTGGATCTATCTATACAACCAATCACAATATTCTTAATTCAAAGATAGTTCATGAAAATGTTGCTATAAACTTTCTGACTGTATAGTTTCAAGTAATGAACCAAATTAACAAAATTTTATATTGAATTATTAATAGACTATCAATTTACCGGTGCATGGTGAGAATCAATGGCAGTTTTAGCCTCTCCTGGCTCTAAGAATGTCCAACTTCTAACCTCAATACCATACCATTCATACCAGTAGTTCAAAATTACCATCAGTTCAGAGTTGTGATAATGACTGCCATTATGGATACCCATTTAGGTTTATTTTCAATTGAGGTAAGAACAGCATGAAGTGAAGATGCTGTAAACCAAGCATCTTGTCATGTGTCATTGGACCAATGATCAAATGCACTAACATCTAATTCATCATTTTGCTTTTTAGTATATAATAATGTACTGTGCAAAGTCCATCCTTTTTTACCAAAAAATTGGTCCTTGGTTTCACGAGCAGATTTTGGAAGAACACGCATTTTATAATCTACCACTAAAACTGCACCTTCACAATCAAGCTCTCTGAGTATAAAAGAAAATTGAGAATTCAAATATACTTTCCTTGTTTGATGGCTAAGATAATAACAAAGTTTTTCCTGGGCATCATCCAACATATCAATAGATGTTTTGCCAATAACATTTTGTAGATTTTTGAATAAGATCCAGAATTCATCACAGTTTTGACAAGTATTAATATGCTTTTCTTTACAGATACCAAAAGCATATGCAAGACAATGTGAAATACAAGGGTCATGATGAGGCTGGCCATCCTTTTCAATTTTAATTTCTTTTTCATAATTTAGCTTCATATGTCTTCATAGTAATTCAATTCTATTAATAAAGTTGGTCTTGCAAAATATTCATGTAAGTTTAATTTTTTATAAATGATTATAAATTTAAAAATATATTCAATCTACCTTTAACTCTCCATCAAGATTATTTGAAACTAAATGTATTAGATCTTCAAAAACATTGTAACCATAATAGCAACAGGTTGAACATAGTCCTCCAAGGTCTTCTCTATACTGAAACCTCTGACTTTTTAATTGTGTCATGAAAGAAGATCGCTTGATTCCATTTGGATATGTTACAGAATACTTATCCCAAAGCACTTTTTTTGTATCCTTAAGATATAGCACTGGAAGGTTCGATTCAGGATCAACCTTGTAAGAACTCATATTTACAATTGATTTGTCTGAAAAGAACTTCTCAAATTGTTTTTTTGCTTCTTCCGAAAAGCGGTTTTGATGAATTTGTGGTTTTTCAATAGGAGGGCATCCTGGACCATTTAATCTCACAAATTTTCTTGCTTCACATAATGTATGCTTTGCTACATTTATCTAAAAACAAAAGGTATTTTAATATTTTACATATTTTTTAAAATCAAAAATTTACATTTGATTTCCTAAGTTCTTCTAAAGTAAAATTATCTGCCACAATTGATAATATTCTACGTTTTCCTTCTAATCCTTTTTTGTTTGCATCTATGGCATCAGAAATACTTTTAGCAAACTGTTGAGCATTGTTACATGTTTCTAGGTCACATATTGGTTCACTTGGAGATGGAGTAGGAGAAAGGAATCCTTTATCATAAAGCATAAATAATGTTTCCTTATCATGAAGGATTAGGATTTCTTGTCCAAAATTCACACTAAAAATTATAAATAAAGGTACTGATGTTAATATTAATATATAAATTCTTAAAATGATTGATTTTTATCAAATGCAATACCAGTGATTCCTTTTTATTAAATGGTGTTATATTTGTGCCACCTGCAGCTTTTATTAATGAATGCCAAGCACGATACTCCCTGTCATTAAAAATATAATCAGAAGGATATATACAGGAAAGTTCTGATTGAATCTCAATAATATTGCTGCTTTGAAGAGACCAATTTTTAAACAATTTGTACCAATT